CCCTCAGCCTTTCCTCATAAGACCTTCCCTCCATACCAGGCAACATCCTGGTAAATCTCCTCTGCACCCTTTCCAATGCTTCCACATCCTTCCTATAATGCGGCGACCAGAACTGTACGCAATACTCCAAGTGCGGCCGCACCAGAGTTTTGTACAGCTGCAACATGACCTCATGGCTCCGAAACTCAATCCCTCTACCAATAAAACCTAACATACAGTACGCCTTCTTAACAACGCTATCAACCTGGGTGGCAACTTTCAGTGATCTATGCACATGGACACCGAGATCTTTCTGCTCATCCACACTACCGAGAATCTTACCATTAGCCCAGTACTCTGTATTCCTGTTACTCCTTCCAAAGTGAATCACCTCACACTTTTCCGCATTAAACTCCATTTGCCACCTCTCAGCCCAGCTCTGCAGCTTATCTATGTCCCTCTGTAACCTGCAACATCCTTCCACACTATCCACAACTCCACCGACTTTGGTGTCATCCGCAAATTTACTAACCCATCCTTCTACGCCCTCATCCAGGTCATTTATAAAAATGACAAACAGCAGTGGCCCCAAAACAGATCCTTGTGGTACACCACTGGTAACTGAACTCCAGGATGAACATTTCCCATCAACCACCACCCTCTGTCTTCTTACAGCTAGCCAATTTCTGATCCAAACCGCTAAATCACCCTCAATCCCATGCCTCCGTATTTTCTGCAATAGCCTACCATGGGGAACCTTACCAAACGCTTTACTGAAATCCAAATACACCACATCAACCGCTTTACCCTCATCCACCTGTTTGGTCACCTTCTCGAAGAACTCAATAAGGTTTGTGAGGCACGACCTACCTTTCACAAAACCGTGTTGACTATCCCTAATCAAATTATTCCTTTCTAGATGGTTATAAATCTTATCTCTTATAATCCTTTCCAACACTTTACCGACAACCGAAGTAAGGCTCACTGGTCTATAAATTCTCTTTTCCTATTTACTAAACTCTTTGTAACTTTGTAAGCAACTAAGAAACTTCTTTTAACCTTCTCTGTTACAGTTCATGGTTCTGAGTATCTCATAATAACTATATTTTACCATCACGAAACTAAGCAAAGTACTCCATGGCCTTTCAACAATAAACAGTTACAGCAGCAGTACTCCAGCAGTGGCTTCATCATTGTTTTGTGCATATCTATTGCAAGTTACTTTGACCTTATGCTATGTAAAATTGAAATGTTGATCTTTTCGTTGCTACTTATAGTCCAAATGTTGTCCCATTATTTCAAGTGTGTTGGAGAATTTTTAATGTATAGGTTCTGAGCTTATATGGTTAACCGTAGATAAAGTTTAAAAAGTGATAACTATTGAGGTAACTTCTAGCTCTGCAACTTCCTCCAGATTCAAGTCAGTTTTTGTGATTGACTATTTCCTCATGCTCCCTCAAGAATCCTGTTATGCTAATGTTTATATTAATGACCAGTGAAAGTTTTAATTTTGAACATGCTTTACATGGCTGTAGGCTGACTTGTTAATTGTATATAAAGTTTGTAAATTTAAATTGTTATAAGTAAAATTTATCAGGATTTATTGAAATCTGTTCTTTTTAGGGCTGAACTTAGAAAAGGGTAATGGGAATGTGGCATTGAAATTCTACATACGGAGTACCAAAGTAAAAATGGAAAATTTCACATGAACTTGAAAGAGGAAGATCAATTAAACCAGTGCCCCTTTTTTTCTAACCTCTAACCTGGCAGAATTGCAAGTACAAGAATGATGGCTGCTGCTCACCCAGTAGTTTCTGGCTTACTGCCGCTGTTGGAAACCTTGGAAGATATATCTGTTTCATCCACAGAGCAAGTGGATGCTTACCTTACAATTGCCAGGTCAGTATATAAAACACTTCTGCGATATCAAGTAATAGGCTCATTGCTGCCTTACTCAGCACGTTCAGAAGAGATGATATACAAAATCTCTGCAAATAGTTTGCTGTATTTACACCAATTTCTTTGAGATTGAAAGGATTTGATGACACTAAACAGAACATTAAGAATATCAGATTAATTGTTTCATTCAAAAAATGTGTATATAGATACATTGTAATTTGCCAACCAGTTAACAACCAAGTCACACAGTATGTTATTCTTTCAGTGGATGTGGATGTTGCTGACTAGGCCAGTATTTATTGTTCATTCATAATGCTACTTGAAGGTAGCAGTAAACCGCTTCTTGAATCACTGCAGTCCATATGGTCTTGGTGCACCAATAGTACTGTTGAGAAGGAAGTTCCAGGATTTTGACCCAGTGACACTGAAGGAATGGTGACATGGTTCCAATCAGGATAGTTTGTGGCTTGGAGGAAAACTTGCAGGTGGGGATGATTCCATCCATCTACCATCTTTGGCCTTTTGGGTGACAAAGGTTGCAGAATCGTGAGTTCATCCACTAAAATTAATTCCACAATGACAAGAAACCTACATCAAAAGGAATGTTTTTAAGGTAAAGTTTTACCCAGACCCCAAAACATTTTATGCATCGCAGAAAGGCATTTTAATGCAACTTTTTGTTTGAAAGAGAAGCACGTTGGCTTTTGGTTTAGAGTTCACTTTGGCTGGAAGTAATCACCTCTTCCCTTTGAGTTCAGGAACTCTAAAGCAAATGAGTTTGGATGCTGGTGGTTGAGTAATTGTAACATAGTCTGGATGGGAGTGATTTCCGATGGTCCATGGCATCCTTCATCTACGAAGATGATGCTGGATTTGCGAGTATCCCACGGCTGCTGATTCAAATTAAATATTTAATGTATTTGTTTCCAAATCTAAACCACTCCTGTACATGTTAATTAACTGGCTGTATCTATTCTGTATTATAGTCGTCTGAGTGGAGAGGATGGGAAAGAATTTGCAACTGCAGTTGGCAAACAGTTTACTCGCCTCTGTGAAGTGTTCAAAGTAAGTTATTTTTGCTGATATGTATTGAGGTGAAATGGTCAGAACAATTTTAGTTTCTCATTATTTGTTCATGATGAAATTGTTGAAGCTGTATTCTGTCAAATACAAATTAACGTTTTATTTGGAGAGTATCTTTCTTGCTATCTTGTCAAGGTCATGATTTGCATTCTGTATCTTAGATTATGACTATAGGAAGTTCACTGTCAGTCATTTATTTCTGGATTTGTCATGCTATCCTGAGTGGAGGTACCTTGTGGAAAGGAACTTTGTAGGGAGAAGAATCATAAGACTATATGTAATTGCTTTCTGGTGACTAAATGGAAAAAACACCTTTTGAGAGTCTGGGGAGAACTGAACAATTAATATTCTTCTTGCTGACATAGAATTTTAAAGTTGTGTTTCGAAAATCTTTATGCCCAGAGATTTTGACTGCTTTATTCAAGTGTTTCAAGGTCTTTTAAAAATAAAAAGTTGATGCCTTGCCACTGTTAGTGGAGTATGTCACCAGAACTGGATAGTTGTGTGAAGTTGTAACCATTTCTAAATGCTTAAAAATAAAACAAGAACATTGCCCTTTTCAAATAGTAAGTTCTGGACGGAACTGGGTGAATATTTAGGAGTAAAACCAATTGAGGGGTAGAATATTGTATCTGAGACTACTTTGATATGCAGTGGCTTTTTTTTCTGATGTGTCACTCCATATTACAATTTTGAACGGATCCTAAATAGTTTGAAGAGTATGTATAACAATAACTATCTGACGTCTGAGATACATGTTATCTTTTGTGTATTGATGAGTGGGAATATTTCGTTTGAGAGTCAGTATATATTATAACATCTAGTTCAGGGTGGCATATTTTAAAATTTGATTTTATTTTCACATTGAGATCCTATGGTCAGTTGTTAACAGGACATCACATGTTTAAATTGCATGTCATGGAATGTTTTGTTTTTGTAACTGGAATGTCTAGTCTATTCAGTATTTATGTATTACAGTTCTCTCAGGTCAGCTTAATGAGTTTTTCGTAAATTCATTATAAGTCTATTGTTATATATAATTCATAAAAATTTTAAACCCTGTGAGGGAGATTTTCTTTGAGCTGTTCTTGAAGCAGTGGTATAAGTGGGAACCAGAGCAATAGGTCAACGTGTAGAAGGATTGAGGAGAATGTAGATGTTAAGTAAGTCTAACTGGAAAAAGATGCAGGACCAGGTTAATGACCACAACAGGACTGGCGGTCTGAAGTGTACTTATTTCAACGCAGGGAATATAAAAAGGTAAGGCAGATGAGGTTAGAGCATGGTTTAATGCATGGAACTATGACAGTGTAGCCATTGCAGAAACTTGATTGAGAGAAGGGCAGGACTGGCAGTTCAACATTCTGGAGTTTAGATGTTTCAAGTGTGATAGAGGAATGTTATAACCGGTGGGGGAGTAGCAATACTGCTTTAAGGAGAATGTCACAGCTGCATTAAGAGAGGACATATTGGAAGACTCATCCAGCGAGCCATATGGGTAGGACTCAGGAATGAGAAAGGTGCAGTCACTTTGAGGTTATACTATAGGTCTTCCAATAGCCAACAGGAGGAAGAGGAACAGATGTGTAAGCAGATCATGAAAAGATGTAAAATTAGCAGGGTTGTTGTAGTGGGTGGGTTTTTTTAAACTTACCCAATGTTGACTGGGGCTCCCTTAGTGCTAGGGACTTAGATGAGGCAGAATTTGTTCGGTGTATCCAGGAGGGCTTGAAACAATATGTAGTAGCCCAACTTGGGGAAAGGGCCATACTAACCTTGTGTTGGGAATGAGCCTGGCCAGGTGATTTAAAGTTTGGTGGGTAAGCATTTTAGAAACGGTGATCCGAATTCCATGAGTTTTAAGATTTTTATGGAGATGGATAAAACTGGTCCGTGGGTGATTATGCTAAATTGGGGGAAGGCTGTTTTCAACATTGAGGCAGGAACTGGAGAAATTAAATTGTGGATAGCTGTTTGAAGGTAAACCTAAATCTGACATAGGAGTCTTTTAAAGGCCAGTTGATCACAGTTCAGGTTCTGCATGCAGATGAAAGATAAGGATGGCAAGATTTGGAAACCCTGTGAGAGAGATTGAAAGTTTAGTTGAAAAGGAAAAGGACGCATATGTAAGGTTTGGGAAACTGAAATCAGGAAGGCTGGAAGCAGGAAGAAACTTAAACAAGGAATTAGGAGGTCTAAAATGGGCTTTAAAATGTCCTTGGCAAGTAGAATTATGGAGATTCCCAAGGCATTTTATATTTGCGTTAGGAGCAAGCACATAGCTAGGGAAAGTAGATCCCTCCTTTGTCCTTGAGTGGAATCTAGGCGTGGAGCCGGAGGAAAGATGTAAGGGGGTGAGGCCCTTGATGAGTCCTTTGCATAGATATTCACCAAGGAGAAGGGCATGGAGGAAAGTAAGAGTAGGGAGGGGTATCTTGATATTCTAGGCCTTGTCAATATTAAGGAGGAGGAGTTGTTGGGTGTCTCGAAAAATATTAAGGTAAATTAGTCATCAGGACCCAACGGGATCCATGCCAGGATACTGAAGGAGGCAAGGAAGGAGATCGCTGGGCCCTTATCAGAGATTTTTGTATCTTTAGTCATAGGCGAGGTTCCAGAAGACTGGAGAAATTCCAGTAATGTTTGCTTGAAAAGGACAGTAGGGATGATCTTGGATTATTATTGTATCAGTTGAACCTTACATCAGTATTAGAGAAGTTATTGGAGAAGTTTCTCAGGCAGGATTTACTTGCGTTTGAAAATGAATGGATACAAAATTGGCTTGGTCAGAGAAGACAGGGTATTGTGGAGTGGTGGTGTTCTGACTGAAGTTCTGTGATTGGTGATATTCCACGAGGATCAGCGCTAGGACCTCTGTTTGTTATATGTATAAAAGAGTTGGATGAGAATGTAGAGATAATAAGGTGTAGAGCTGGAACACAGCAGGCCAAGCAGCATTAGAGGAGCAGGAAAGCTGACGTTTCGGGTCTAGACCCTTCGGGAGAATGTAGGTTGACTGATTAGTAAGTTTGAATACAAACTGAAAATTGGCAGAGTTGTGGATAGTGAGGAAGATTGTCAAAGGATACAGCAGGATATAGATCAGTTGGAAAGATGGGTGGAGAAATGACGGAGTTTAATCCAGAGAAGAGTGAGGTGATGCGATTTGGGAAGTCAAATGCGAGAGGAAAATATACAGTAAATAGCAGGACCCTTCGGAGCATTGATATGCAGAGCGATCTTGGAAGTGGGTGTGGGGGACGCACTAGTCCATAGCTCACTGGAAGGAGCAACACAAATTAATAAGGCATACGGCATGCTTGCCTTCATTGGTTGGAGCATTGCGTATAAAAAAAAAAATTGGCAAGTCGTGTTGCTGTTGTACAAAACTTTAGATAGGTCTTATTTGGAGTATTGTGTGCTGTTCTGGTTGCCACACTATAGGAAGGATGTGGAGGCTTTGGCGAGGATGCAAAAGAGGTTTACCAGGGCATTGCCTGGTTTGGAGTGTATTAGCAATAAAGAGAGGTTGGACAAACTTAGGTTGTTTTCTCTAAACATCGGAAGATGAGGGGATACCTAATAAAAGTAGATAGATAGATAGAATTCTGAGAGGTATGGATAATGGAGTCTTCTTCCCAGTGGAAATGTTAAATACTAGGGACACAGGTTTAAGATGAGGTGAGGAAAGTTTAAAGGTTATGTGCAGGCAAAGTTTTTGTGCAGAAAATGATGGGTGCCTGGAATTTGCTGCCAGAGGAGGTGACAGAAGCAGGTATGATAGCAGTGTTTAAGAGGCATTTAAGCAGACACATGAACAGGCAAGGGACAGGGATACAGACCATGTGCAGGCAGATAGGATCAGTTTAGAATGGTATCGTGGTTGGCACAGACATGGTGGCCAAAGGCCCTGTTCCTTTGCTGCACTCTTCTATGTTTTTACAAAATTGTCTTTTGAATTGGCTTCATAACATAGTCCGCCTCTTCCTTCCTCTCACCAGCATTTTTTTTTTTGTTCTACCAATTGGCTTTATTTTCTGTTGATTGATTTGTAATTCAGCATCAACTGTAAAGTTAAAATGTGAGAATTAGTGCTCCTTCATTCGAAAATGAAACGCAAGAATTTTGAAAAGCGAAGTTTTGTAGGCTTATCTCCACGCTCTGAATCTAACTAGCATTTTATCATCAAATTCTATAACTCTGAATAGAGAGCACCTCCTATTCTGTCTCCTTCTATCTTTTTAACTCGACAAGAAACCTTTATTGATGATAATTGCTGGAAAAGCTCAGCAGGTCTGGCAGCATCTGTGAAGAAAAAATCAGAGTTAACGCTGCGGGTCTGGTGACCCCTGAGGAAGGATCACCGGACCCGAACCGTTAACTGTGATTTTTTTTCTTCACAGATGCTGCCAG